TCGGACGGTTGAACTTGAGTGAAATTTTGTTACACCACAAAAGGTGTGGTAGCCAATGGAGGTGCGGGGAATCGAACCCCGTGCCTCTCGCATGCGAAGCGAGCGCTCTACCATATGAGCTACACCCCCGATCTTGTTAAACATGAAAAATTCATAAATTTATACTTTAACAGAATCGTGTCTTTAAAGTAGAATGCATGTAAATTATATTTTAAACGAAATCGTGTATTTTAAAGGAAAACTAGGTGATCGGCCTTCACCGTGTTCGGGAATGAAACTTTTTAGCGAATTATGTTAATTTTGATATTTAATAAAACGATTATATCATTTATAAATATTAAATATGCATCGTTCTTGTTCTTCTTCTTTCTCAAGGTATAAATTTAGGTTGAAAAAAATTGTTTTAATATTTATAAGATTTTAAAAGAGGTGAAAAAATTTAAGAATTATCATGTATTTTAGTAATTTTTTTTGTTTGAATGTGTTAGAAAGTGTAAAAGTTAAGCGTTCAAACACATAACAATATATTATTTTCACTTAATGGTCTAAAGATTCCATATAGGATTGTAAGAGCATGTTTATCGGACAACTTTTGTAAAGTATCAACAGTATTAAATAATAAAAAGTAATAAAGAAGCAAGAGAGAGGAAAAGAGAGAGTGTGAAAGTTTCAGCATAATGAAACGGTTGTTGAATATTTTTTACCACATGTCTTACAATCATTGGTCTATTATTTTGTTAATAATTTAATAATTAAATAAATCACTAAACTAACATAAAATTTTTAAAATATTATATTTAAGAAACTGTCTATGAGTTTTTCATTTTGTAAATACAAATTTTCACGTCAAAATTACTTCAAAATATGTGATCTCATAAAATAAACCAACCCATAATACAAAGCATATAAGTATGTTGACAAAAAAAAAAGCATATAAATAATGTACTCAAATCACGTAAAAGCCATAAAAGAAATGAAGCTACTTCAGATTCTCTTTCTTGGTCATGCTCTTTCACAATATAAAATCTGGTGCTCTGAATATCAACATTGTCTAAACCACAACACATGACCACTTTGTTCTCCTCGTCCATCATGAAACTGATAGAATGTATAAGTGACACAAATTTATTTAAATCCAAATCGACTGTAAAAGACATGCTCCACGACACTTTCTTGGTCTCATCAATCTTGTTAGTCACCCATATCTCGAATGTTTTTTTCTTTTGATAAAACACTACAAGCTGCTCTTCTCTTACGGTAGATAGTACCACACTATCAAGGCGACGAGGCGTGAACGGCAGACGCAAATGTTGAAATATCTCTCTCATAAAATTGAATCTTATCAATAAGCCATGGACCGATTCTTCTTTGTAGGAAGTAGGCCAATAAGAATTTCCCTTCAAAGTCACGCCAAAATGACTCTTTGTATATTCCAAGTGGGGGGACATGTTATCAAGAACTTTCCATGTATTAGATTTAAACTCATAGATTTCAGACTCAGCATCTGCCACCCGAGTCTTGTAATTACCCCAACAACACCTCAATATTTTGTAATTGTCACAACAAGATTTGTTGTTTTTGTATCCGAGAGCATACATATCGAATAATTCGTAGACAGTTCTGGGTTTGATCCACCTAGTATGCCCCATAATCGGGTTATAAACCATGAGGCCGTCTTCGCCATCCATGCTCAGTGTGGTGCATAGCAATAATCCATCGCAGTGAAAAAGAATTTCCGTTATGAAGGTATTTAGGCCATTATAAAAAAGTTTGCCAAATTTACCTTTAACCTCTATTGATGGATCAATGTTGTTGTGAATTCCACTGAGATTGACATTCACTGAATGGACAGTACTTTTCTTCAGGATGAGAAGTTGAAACTCCCTTGGTGCTTGATCAAAGTGCTTCTTGGTGAATCTATCATCATTAAATATTGTATTCCATTGTTTGCAAGTGGATCTTAGCCGTTTTAGAGATGTAGCCGGAACCCTAGCGAGTATCTGCTCTATCAAATCATCTGGAATATTGGATATCATCATGTTCTTATCTTATGATGAGAGGAGCACTTGTAAATAGAAATTAGGGTTTAATTTTTGACGTTTATCTCCGGAGTCTTATATATACAATAAATTTAGAATATTCAACTAGGCTGATCTAATTTTATAAAGGAATGTTTTTGTTTTTAAAAAAAATACGTATATTTATCTTTTCCCTAGTAATCAAACCCTTTTACAGAAATACCATTTGAATCCTAATAAAGGCCCTAAGCCTGTCAACAATTAAGGCTCAACATGGCCTAAGACTAAGAGGACCAGAAGACTTTCATCAGGAACCTAGGAGGAAGATAAAATAGAAAATAAAAAGAGGATCACAATCGATCAAACCACACGCAAGCGAATCACAACAACAACATTAAAAGAGGATGATAATCTTATCTTGTGGTGGAGTACACGTACAGGATTAGTAGAGAATTGAAAGAACTCAAACCAAATGAATGTTAATTTCTTTTCCTATGTGGTTCCTGGCTTTCTGCTTTATATAAAGCAAGACCAATGATATTGAATTTATGCGTGTTTTAAAACTGTTGCAAGCTCTTGGACTTATTAACACTTGATGTACTGTTATATAATTTGAAGTTTTACTTTAATTAGTGCTTCTTCTTTGTTTAGTGAACTTGGTTTCTGTAAGAAAGGAAGAGAAGATTCAGAGAGAAAGTAAAGCAACACGACTAGCATAACCAAACTAATCACATTTGCTTTTTATGGTTTAATTTTATAAAACTGATAGACCGAAACCAACAAAAAAAACAATAATAATAACAAATTGGACCAAACCAAATTACATACAGTTTTTTATAAACCCGATCAACCGAAACCAAACCGTACATGTAATCTGGAATGTCACTGAATTTGGCAAATTTATAAATGAATTTGTATATTCCGCCTCCTCTCGTATTTTTTTTTTCTTTTTAATAAATCGTCGGAGTTTCCAATCTTTGATCCATAATCTTCTTAGCGTTCGGGACCAAGCGTTGATAATACCATGTTTAAGGCATAAATCACTCCTCACAAATAGAATTGAATATTTTCCATTTTTGATGTTGGCGTA